TTATGTAGTGACCTTCCTTGTCCTTTGTGATGGTTTTTACATTGATATTTATTTTATCAGAGATTAATATGGTTACGCCTGCTTTTTTCTGGTTGCCATTTGCTTGGTATATTTTTAGCCTGTGTTTATCTTCATTTTTCAGCTGTGTCTCTTGTAGACAATATATTGGTGGATTTTGTTTTTTTATCCAACCTGCTATTCTCTTCCTCTTCAGTGGTGCATTTAAACTGTTCACATTCAGTGTGACTATTGAGAGGCTAGGTTTTATTTTTATCATTGTGTCGAGTTCTTTTTTGTGTTGTTGCTAATTACTTTGCACCATGGAGCTTTCTGTGGTATGTCTGTAAGAAGGACATCTCTGAGTCTTTCTTGAATGCTGGTCTTGTTTTTACAAACTCTTTTAGGTTCTGCTTTTCTGGGAATATCTTGATCTGTCCTTCATATTTGATGGATAATTTTGCTGGGTACAGTATTCTTGGTTGACAGTTGTGTTCTTTGAGTGTTTGGTATATCTCCTTCCACTCTCTTCTTGCCTGCATAGTTTCTGCTGAGAAATTGGCACTTAATCTTATCTGTTCTCCTTATAGGTTACTCTTTGTTTCTCCCTTGCTGCTTTCAGGATTCTCTCCTTATCTTTGGTTCTGGTAAATTTAACTATGATATGCCTTGATGGTTTTTCTTTTGGTTTCTAATCTATATGATGTTAGCTGAGCTTTTTGAATACATATTCTCTCATTCTTCATTATGCCTGGGAAGTTTTCCTCTAGTAATTATTCCACAACTTTTTCAGTACCTTTACTTGCTTCTTCCTTTTCTGGGATTCCAATGATGTGCATGTTATTTTTCTTGATGGTGTCCCACATTATTCTTAGGTTTTCTTCTTTTTCCTTCTTTTCTGAGTCTGCTTTTTGCTCTATCAGATCAGTGGTGATAATTTTGTCTTCAATTTCACTGATTCTGTCTTCCATCTCATCAACACTGCTCATATGTCCCTCCATCATATTGACAGCCTCTGAAACTTTGGACCTTATATATTTTTTTAACCTTATATTTTGAATGGGGGATTCTTGTTTTTCCAATGCCACTAATGCCTGATTTGTTTTCTCTGCAATGTTTTGCATTGTGTTTTTGAGCTCCTCCTGGTCTTTGCTTCTAGTATCCTGTATTTCATCAAGTTTGTCTTTCATCCATTGGATATATTCAGTCACTCCTCTTTTAAATTCTGTGTCAGAATGTTCCATGAGACTTTCTGGGTTCAGGGAATCTACTGCTACTCTTTCACCCTTGTGAGTGACATCTTGCTTTGCTATTGTGTCGGATAGTTTGCTTTCTTCGAGACATTGATATGTTCTTGATCTGAAGACAGTGCTCTAGAGATCAGTTAGGCAGCTACTGAACTTTTGTGTTTCTCTGAATTTCTGACTTCAGGGAAATGTCAGTTCAGAGTGTGCTAAGGCAATCTCTTGTTGGTAAGACAGGTCAAGGTGCTTCCAATTAAAGGCAAGTTGATTTCCCAGACGTGTAGGCACTGGTGTGGAGCCAAATGGGGTGAGGCAGGCAAAGGGTTGGGGTGATCACAAGGGCAGGTCAAACACTTAGGGGACCTTGCTCAAACCTCTGCTGTCTCAGGGTGCTCACGATTGGGGTCCCTACTCAAATTCCTGCTGTCTGTTTTCTACCCAATGGATTGTCAGTGTTCCCTGCCTGGTGGCACTTACGCAGGTGCCCTCACACAACAGCCCCTGCTCCAGCAGAGTCCTGGATCTGACAGGATCCGAAGTCCAAGGTCAAATTCTCACCGAACCACTAGCCTCTGTCTGGTCTGCAGAGTACACAGAAGCCAGCTGGCTGGCTCGTTTTAGGCAGTTGGTGTAGCCCAAGAGAGCCCCAGCCAAATTCCCCACCAGTGGGCACGCCCTTATGTGCTCTCCCAGGTAATCAGCAATGCCCCCGTAAACCCAGCCAGGATCCTACCTGCCTTTCTCCTGCCAGGTTAGTTCCACAGCAGCTTGGTTGATAACTCCGGGTGATAGCTGGATCCACGGTGGTGCCCTGAGGTCTCAGGGCTGTGGCGGAGGCTGAGGTGTGTGGTTGTGGGGCTGCAGGGAGAGGCGGGGGAAGGGGGGAAAGCAAGGGACTAGGGGGGCAAAGGAGCACAGGGCTTGGACACTACCACCAAGAGGTGGGGGGCGGAGCTTGGGCGCTGTTGGGGTTTTATGTAGCAGCACCCTGTGTGGTGGGGGTCTGGGGCTCACCCAGGCACGGGTTGCAGGGGGGGGTCACACAGTGGCTGGTAGTCGTTGCTCCTGTGGGGTCACACGATGTTCGCTCCTTTGGAGTTCCGTGGTGGCTGGCAGACTGTTGCTTTTCCCGGGTCTCTTCGCAGGGCATCGTGGTTGGCGCAGGTGTCACAGCTGGCGCAGGCGTCGCCATGTTAACAGTTTTGAGTACCACTTGCCCTTTAAGATCCCAAGCCAGCTGCCTACTTTAGCAGTGCTAAGGTATTTTAAGCCAGAATTCTTTGTTTGGATTTTAGACACAAATACAGTTTTATGGCTGTAATTGATGAGATGAAAGTCAGGATGTAACTTAGACAAGGATCTGATAAAAGGTTACACACTGAGATGCCACCATATTGAGGAAAGATCCCATCCCCGCTCTGGTGGTGGCTGTGCTACATTTGTGTGAATGTATTTCATTGTTTACTGTGTGACAAGCTGACCTGACTAAATGTATCATTTACCCAGTGCCTTAGCAAAGGACATTGTTTCATTGCTAACCTAGCCCAAACAAAAGGAATCCCCATGTATGATCTTATGTGAGTTTTGCTTTCACAATATATAATTATGCCTCATTCTTCTGCTTGAAGGAAGATTGCTTTGAATGGATTAGCGGGTCTTATTCTCCATTGCCTCTAAGTAGTCACTACACAACGCTACTATAGTTTCAGAGCAACAGGGATTTAGTACTTGCTTTTTCCAAGTCTTTTTGAAAAGAAAAAAAATAATGAAGGTTTAAGAAGTCAAATGACTTTGCTCTCATATCAGAAAGAAAGTAATTAGGAGCACTGTGGGCAGGCAGAAATGCAAACTACATGGTTCTGCCCTCCTGACTCACTCGTGAAATGAATGAATGACCTTCTGGGCTAGACTGGCTACTAGCACGAATCTGGGACCAGATTGCTGGAATCAAGTCCTGGCTCTGATCGCCTATCTCTCTCTGCCTTTGTTTCTTTACTTGTGAAATACAGATGAATATAATATGTAACCCCTAGATAACTGTCACTCAGTGACTGTAGAAAAGAGATTAGGTCTTTTGGAGATGATGATATTGACTCAGGATAGGGCTGTTTTCAGAGCTAATGTTGCTATGAGTCTCGGGCAACTCGAAGGCACATAACAACAAAAACGGATAATTGTGATAAAGAGCTCTGATGGCTAGTGTCTTACCTGTTGAGCTAAGAATGGCCAGGAGTTGAAATCTACCAGCTATTCTTCAGGAGAAAGATGGGCAGTCTTTCTCCTCCCTTCTCCTATAAAGATATACAGCCTGGGAAAACCGTGCTGTAAGGAGTGTCCAGTCAGAAGCAACCTGACAGCAGTGGGCTGCTGCTTTTGTTGTCAGTTAGTTTTGTTTTTCAGTGCAGGTAATTGTGAGGCAATGGGAGCTCTGGTGGCCTTGTGGCAAGAAGCTGCACTGCAATCCCAAAGGCACATGGTTTGAGGCCACCACGTGCTCCACAAGAGAAGGATGGACAATCTTCTCCCATGCGATTGTTGTTGTTGTTAAGTGCCATCGAGTCACAGACGACCCATAGCTACCCTATGAAGGAGAGTCCTCAACACTTGGGTGTCTCTCATCCTCTCTCCAGGTTCATAGGATTTCCGGAGGCCAGCTTTTACGGAAGTGGATGCCACTCCTCCTTCCAAGCTTGTTTTAATCGGGGAGCTCCACCCCACTCTCTGTCCACGTTGGGTAACCAGCCATTAACACATTTGACACATCCATGTCACAGTGTCCAGCCTCACAGCAACCACAAGTTACTGTTGTACGGCAACTTGTATACCAGGTCTATACGACCTAGAGGAATGTCTGAACAAAAACAATGAAAGACAGGCCTGAGGGCCACAGATTAAAAGTCACCCACCTTCGGCTTGGTAGCATCGCCTTCTCTCCACTGGGCCAGCTGGTCTCTCTCTCTATGTTGATGTTATTATTGTTAAGTGCTGTCGAATTGCAGGCAATTCATAGCGACCCTATGAAGGAGAGTCCTCAGCACTTGGGTGCCTCTCATCCTCTCTCCATGTTCATAGGGTTTCCGGAGGCAAGCTATTACGGAAGTGGATGCCACTCCTCCTTCCAAACATGTTTTAATCGGGGAGCTCCACCCCACTCTCTGTCCTCGTTGGGTAACCAGCCATTAACGCATTTGACTCATCCGTGTCACAGTGTTCAGCCTCACAGCAACCACAAGTGACCACTGTACGGCAACTTGTATACCAGGGCTATACGACCTAGGGGAATGTCTGAACAAAAACAATGAAAGATAGGCCCGAGGGCCGCAGATTAAAAGTCACCCACCTTCGGCTTGGTAGCATCGCCTTCCGCATGCGATTAACTGCCTCTAAAAGCCCCCTGGAGAGTCAGCTGTGGGTCGGTTCTGACTCTGTGGTACACAAGAACAACAACAGTGTGTGGCTGAAGCAGGAGGGATGTGTGGTTTACAGCCTCAGCATACTCCCTGGAGGGGACAGCTAAGAATATTCAGACTTGACTTGATGGCACTGGGTTATGTTATAGTAATTATGAGGATTCAAAAAGTCAGCATATGCAGAATGCTTAGAAGAGTGTCTTGCTCAGAGTAGGCATTTATTTATTGTTCTCATAATTTCTTAATACTGTTGTGAATCTCTTCCTATTAATTCCTTGACAATTAAAAAGAATCTCCTTCCCTTCTTCTTCAGCTGTGAAGTAAGGTCAGGCCCAGAGTTCATCACGAGATCTTATAGATTCTACCATAACAACACCTTCAAGGCCTACCAGTTTTATTATGGCAGCAACCGCTGCACAAATCCCACCTATACTCTTGTCATCCGTGGCAAGATACGCCTGCGCCAAGCATCTTGGATCATCCGAGGGGGCACTGAGGCTGACTACCAGCTGCACCACGTCCAGGTCATCTGCCACACAGAAGCCATGACCGAGAGGCTCAGTCAGCTGGTGAACCACACGTGTCCTGGGTTTATCCCCCCTGGGAGCTCCTGGGCCCAGGATGTCCCGAATGACCTGTGGCGGGAGGAGAGTGGCTGCGAGTGCACTAGAGCAGTGAATTTTGCAATGCATGAGCTTCAGCTGATCCGTGTGGAGAAGCAGTACCTGCACCACAACTTCGACCACCTAGTGGAGGAGCTCTTCCTGGGTGACATTCACACTGATGCCTCCCAAAGGATGTTCTACAGACCTTCGAGCTACCAGCCACCCCTACAGAATGCCAAGGTACTTGCTTGCTAGCTGCTCGCTCCCTCTCTAGTGCAGAGCCCACTGTGAAGGAATGTCAGCACCCAGGGACCCCAAGAAACTGAGCTTGCTGAGTCACAGGGCACAAGCTAAAGCTGGGGCTGCCAGGAGGTGGGAGGGCAGGAAGAAGGCTACGAAACCCCCTGTGGTCCTGGGCCTTAGTTATCCCTTTCCAAGTGGCTGGTGGCAGTCAGGTGGTGGTGTGGTCCAGGATCTCTGCTGTGACTTTGAGAGGAAGGCGTGAAGGGTGGTAACAAAAACATAGCCACTCCCAAGAGAAGCTGCCCACAGCAATGGCTCTAGCCCTGGCAGAGGTGGGGAAGGAACAACCTTAAAAAGGAAAGGAGCACAGCCTGCATGAGGCTTTGGGCTTTATAAAGATTTCCACATGCAGTACTTCTCAGTCTTCATTGTGACTCCAGGGGTGCAGGGTTCACTGCCCTCCTAGGTAAAGGAGCATGTGAGCTTGGGGAGTCCAGTGACCTGCCAGAATTACACAGTTCTGGAACTTGAACACGATCATTTTTTTCTTCCAAATCCCACATTCTTTCCATTTTTACCAAGTAAAATGTAAAGCCACTGTGATCCAAAGGGAAGATCAGAGAACAATTAAAGGAACAATTAAAACCTTAGAGTGCTTTGTTCTTAAGTGATCATCTAATAATTGTAGTTGGAATGCACACAACATTTTCTTCCCATAAGCTTAGCATACATGTCACTTCTGTAACTTGATCATTGTGATTCACAGCAAAACAGGTGCTTGACCTGTGGTACTGTCCTGGGGTGCTGCCCAGACTTCCTGTGGGCTTACTGGCCTTTGCAGGGCAGCTTCCAGCCATTCAGATAGGCTTGGGTGAATCCTCTCTAGAACACTAGCAAATTGCAGAGCCCATTTTGACTTTTGATAGTGGTTTTTCGGTTTTAAAATTTTCTTCTTTATCCTCTGAGCTGATTCCTGGATGGTCATGATATCACAGAATTTTTCACCTGCCCCAAACCACTCAGTGTTGCCTCTTTTTATCTACATGACTGTGAGCTCCTACACTGAAAGTGTCCTTTATTATATTTTTTAAAAATCTGCTGAGAAAGCCATCTTGGCTTCACTGGGTCCATCTTGTCAGGATGCATAGGTGGAATGGAAGGAGCCTGGCTTTGACTAGGTGCCCTGGTACTAGAGTTACCTACCTAGACCCCTGCCTTTTTAGGCAGCTTGCCAGCATCTCAGAATGCCACAGAAGTTTGTTCCTAGCATAAGAGCCAGGGCCACTATTTTCTGCCTCATGAGTTGCAAACCACCTGTAGAGGAAGTTGTATTAGGGCTGAACATAGGGACCACTTCTCATATGGACTCTATACTTGGCTTCTATCAGGGATTCCAGAGACCCTTTTACTACCCTTTGAAAGATGTTGATTGTTCAGAAAGGACACAAAATGAATAATATGTTTGCCAGAGAAAGACTTTGGCAAGAATGGTGGTGTCTCAGCCAGGCTCCAATGGATCTTTTGTAAAAACTCTGAAAATGGGCTTCTAGTTTCATTTGAGAATATTTTCAGAATTAGAATTAGAATCCAGAATTGCTAGGTTGAGCATGGCAATTCAGTAGCACTTCTGTTAAAAATCTCTGGATTGAGATAATAGTGGGAAAAGGGATTTTAATACCACTGTGGCTTCCTCCATGGAGCTCTGGAGGCATAAGGAGTTACATTGCTAAAGTAGAGGTGTTTCTTCTCTGGCAGTTCAAATCCACCAGCAGCTCTGAGGGAGAAAGATGAGAACTTTCGATCCATGAAGTTTACAGCCTCTGAAAGCTCACTGTAGAGTCACCTATGAATTAGTATTCTGGCTTGACAGCAATGAAGTTTTTGAGAGTTTGTGGCTTCTTAGTAGAATTTATTGAACTTTCACATTGGCTCCTGTATCTTCCTCCACTCTGGAAGTCAGCTGACAGACTGGGTGGGATGGCTGGCTTGACTTTGGTGGCAGTCAAGAATTGCTGGCTCGACTATGGTGGCTCGACTTTGGTGGCCCTCAAGGCAACAGAAGTTCCTGGGGTCATTTTTTGCTGTGTGTTACTGCTCTTTCTCGCCCTTCAAAAGTAGGTGGGTAGCCCAGAGCCCTAAACTAAGGGCGGAGCCTGTGGAGCTTGCTCCAGGCGGTAGATTAAAGTCCTGTAGGGCCCGAGGGTCTGTCTTTAATTGTTTTGGTGAAACATTCTTCTAGGCCACATAGCCCTGGTGTGTCCACTTGCTGTCCAGAGGCAACTTGTGGTGGCTGTGAAGCTGAACACTGTGACACTGACGTGTCAAATGTGATAATGGTTACCCATGGCGGACAGTGTTTGGTGGTGCTCCCCAGCTAAAACAAACTTGGAAGCAGGAATGGCATCCACTTCCATAACAGCTTGCCTCAGGAAACCCTACGAACATGGAGAAAGGATGAAAGTCATGCAACTGTCGAGGACTTTCGTTCATAGGGTCACTATGAGTTGCCTGCGACTCAGTGGCACTTAACAACAACAACAACATCTCCAGTTATGAGAAATAAGGAATCCATAAATAGAAACAGTCACAAATAATCTAGAAACTTCCCATTAGTCTGTCCCTCAGCTTCCTTAAGATATGCTCCCCTCTCAGCCAAAACACTAATGAGCACCAGAAGCACAGAAAGTGGGGAGAAAGGAGTCCAGATCCAAATCTTGTGGCTGAACTTCTCCAGGTAAGAGTAACACTGAAACTAGACCTGGACTGCAATCAGCACCACAGCTCTTTAGCTCCTTGTTGGACCTTGAGCTAGCTATTTGCTTGAATTAAAATATTTTACTCTCTTACAAGTACCTTAGGGTCTTGGTTTCTCAAGCACTTGCACTGCCAACCAACAACTGGGAGTCCAAATCTACAAGCAAATCCTTGGGAGAGAAACTTAACGATGTGTGGTTTACAGCTTCTGCTGACCTGTTGGAGGATCAACTATGATTCAGTTCCAGTTTGAGGGCAATGAGTTTGAGTTGAGTTTTAGCACTGACCAAAAAGTAAGGGTATTATATACAACCACTTTCCTTACCTCTTCCACCTTCAGTTCACCATTTGTATTTCTACAGTTATGTCTCTTCACATGGGAGTCTATGATGAAAGCAACAATTCTTAGGCGTTTAGCTCCAGGGGTTCTTTCATGCACTTCCAAGGTCTTGGTAGGAGTGATTCACTTTTTGGTTAGTGTCCACCCAGTAAATAGGGCCTATTTGTAGGGATGGCTCAAGGAACAGTGTCTTGAAGGTGAGCGTTAATACACATTGGCATAGGAATTAAGGATACAAGTACTGGATCTGACATTTTTATAGATTTTATAAGTCAAGAAATTGGAAAGTTATTCGTATGTTTTGCTCATTTTAAATACAGTTTAGACTGTTAAGACTGGATTTGGCTGTGTAGTTTCACCTGCGGGTGTTGGCAGTGTTGCCAGACCTCCTAGAAATGTAGAATTTGTTTTCTTTTTCCTATAAAACTTTTAAAAATAAAAGAATAGAAACATGTAATGGTGCCCTAAAGAGTGCCTGGCCAAAGCTCTCTTCACCCTTAGTCTTTGTAAGCAATCATGTGGGACTGGGGCTCTTGGAGACTGGGACCACCACTATAAAGTGTCTGCTCTTGCTTCTTTGTTCCTATTGCTAAGGCAGCATGGGAACATTTATGCACATTCTTAAGAAGTAGAGATTGAAACACTAGGCCTGATTCCAGCCAGAAATAATTGAGTAGAAAGACGTTATATCTGGGCTATAGTACTAAGTTTAAAAACATGAAGAAAGAGGATACCAAATAACATGAATAGGGTAATACCCTTTGTATAAAAATAATAAGAAAAAGGTATACATGTAAAGGAATAGAATATTTCTAAAAGGACACAAATTTTGCAATGAGTGCCTCTGAGAAAGTGGGCTGCATAGCTGGGAGCCACTGGATAAAGACTTAGTATTTAACATTAGTTACTTTTTTTATAACTTCTGACAATTGTGCCACAGTCTTCTGTAATGGAAGCTTTAGTAGCTTACTGGTAAGGAGTTGTGCTGCCAGTGTAAAGGCACATGGTTCAAATCCACCAGTTGCTCTATGGGAGAAAGATTGGTATTCTCCTTTTGTGCAATTTACAGCCTCTGCAAAACCATTGCAGGGTCAGCTATGAATTGGTTTCAACTCAACAATACACAAAACCAACAATCTTCCCTAATCAATGAGCACACACAATGAAAACTATATGGCAGGACTCTGAGGCTTAGAGGAAGATGAGAATAATCACAGGACTGAGGGAGAACAGAGCCTCTTGAGTCCCTTTCAGGCCTCCGACCACTCAGCTTGCTATTGTCCAACTTGGAGGGCTGAGGGGAGCTCATCAAAGGTTGGCCCTAAGGCCTGACAACCCATGAATCCTTGCCGTTTGGGGAGTTGAGAGGGACCATTATTTTTGTGTTCTTGAGTTGTACCTCTTAGCCTGCAATGTGAAGCAAATGAATAAGAATGTTTTTAGATCCTTTCCCTAGGACGGCTCTGAGTATGAATAAGTTAATTTAGACATTGGTATCTATCCAGGCATAGCAAAAAACCAAACAACAAAACACCACAAAGTTCTCTGCCTGCTTCAGACTGTGGCACCAGGTTGTTTAACAGGAAGAAGTTGCTAACAGGAAGAAGGGCTGGTTGGATAAATTTCTAAAGCTCTCACAAGCATACCATTTAGAAGTTATGACCCTTCTTCTTTTAACTCTTTGCCTTTCTGATTGCTGGTCTGATGAGACCTTGCTGAAAATTAATTTAAATGCTAAATTGACTTTGAAACCACTTGTTTTAGGCTTTCTGGAAGAGAGACACCTTGTTACATTAAAAATATCAAACCAAATTCCAACTCAATGCAGCTCTGTTTGCATTCAGCTACCTTTGGCAAATCTGTGAGTTTGAAGAGAAATCTGTGATCTGGGAATGAAAATATT